GGCCAACCAGCAGCCAGGAAGGGCGGGCCAGCGCGAGGGGCGGGCCAGGGGCCGTACCTGCGGGGTGGTGGTTGGTGGCATAGCTTTGCAGTGGGTGGGGGGCCGCGTAGGCCTGGCGGTGTAAGATGTCCGTCTCGGGGTGCGAGGTCCTGGAGCTGCCATAGACCAAGCTGGTGGGTGGTGGGGAAGGTTGTGAGGGAGAAGGGAAGAGAGAAAATATTAAGGTACCCACAAAAGCCCTCGAGGAAGGCGGTTCAGAATTCCCCCCAGGGGCTGGGGAGGAATCTTCCAGTTGACAGGGGTTAGGCCAGGAAACGGGTCTCTAACGAATTGAAAGACAAGGGAATCGGGCCCAATTAAGAGCCCCGGGAATGGCCCCACCTCTGAGCCCCAGTAAACATAGCCCATCGTTTTAGTTTCATCTTTACAAACACCAGAGGGGAGAAGATTCGGAGGAAGGGCCTTGAGCTTAAGGTGAGAAAGGGTTGGACCTCTTGCGTCTCAGCCCCTCAACCCCAGAGGTGCACGTGCACGGCCCCCTTTCTCACAGACACGTGGGGACAACTAGGCCCAGACCCTCCTTGTCCGAGGCAGAGTCTGGCTGTTCTCTAACCGGGTATGGAGTGAGTGGGGGGGAAATGGGGACCTGTGCACACGTGAGGATCTTACACTGGCCTGGGTTCAGGTTCAAATGCAAAAGCCCAGGCAAAGCCAAGCGTGCAACTGTGGATCCAACGTACCCAGGAGGAAGAAAAATATCACCGTGGAAGGAGTCCCACTTGGAAAACCCTAAAACACGTGGGGTCCAGCCCAACCAGGGTGGGAACCCCAGGTGTGTGTGTGTGTGTGTGTGTGTGTGTGTGTGTGAGAGAGAGAGAGATTTGGGACGCGGGCAGGTGAAGCGTAAAGGGCGTGCCACCAGAAAACACAGGGAGAGGGGTCACTCACACACGCACACGCACGGACCCACGCGCATCCGTACAAACACACACACTCGGGAAACAGCGGACTCTTCACCAGTCCGTGGAACAGTCGCAGGTCACAAACTCCACACCCTGACTTTGGGGGTAGGGGAACTAAGGGGGCGTGTCAGAGATGCTGGACCCCCCTCCTTACTCGGCACATAGAACCCCAGCTTACAAAGGGGGCGGGGCTGGGGGCCCAATCTGCGCGCGGAATTTCATGAGGGGGGGGTTGCGGCGAGTCGCGCGGCCTGAGCAGTCACGGAACAATAGGACCCGAGAGGGGGGCGCACGCCCCCCCAGGTCTGCGTTCTAATTCTCTCCTTCCCACCTTTGCAGGGGCTGGGGTGCCGGGGGGGAGGGGGACCACAAGTCTGGAATCCAAGGATAGAGGGGGAAGTCCAGGCCCTGCTTTGCCAGTCCCTCCCACCTTCCCAAGGCCTTCCAGTGCTCAAATTGTTTTGCACCCCATTCCCCCGCGCCCCACAACTGCATTCCCCCCTTTGCATGCCCGGTGGTGCTCTGGAGGAGTTTGCAATCTGCAAACTGGTGCGACGGCGTTGTTGCAAACCCGGGAAGGCCGCTCCCTTGCAAGCCGGAGGGGAGTTTGCGATGCACGCATCGCCGGGCGGGCCCGACCGGGCCCGGTTGGGCCCCCACCCCTTGGCCCCTTCTTCCAGGCCAACCCGACTCCTTACCTAGCTTTCGCTGACCTCTCGTAACTCCATCCCGCCCCGGCGCCGAGCGGGTCCCCGAAGCCGGCGCTGGGGTAGTTCCTGTCCATGAATTGGCCGCGGTGGAAATTGGGGGGAGGGG